ACAGCATCCACTATGTTACGCATATTTGTGGATACCCTCTGCCTGCTGTACCTCAGACTGTAAAGTCTAAGTCTATTCAACTTTTCTGAGCATGCAAATCTCTCCACAGTTTTCTTTAGTTTTTATTACCTTTATATATACCTACTTCTTCCAGATCTCTTTCAAAATTAGTTGAACAGAATTAGTTTCGTTATTGAAAATAGAGGCACAAGAGGTATTTATACAGTATATTATATACTGTATTACTGTGTTTTCTGCATTTATCTCCTAATACATCCACAGGCTTTCTAACAATCGCTGGTAAATAGGTCACAGAACCATACAGAACAACTCCAAGGTCTCTTTCCCAATTTGCAATAACTAAGTCCATCATTTGGTATATGGTGTCAGATCAGTCTTCTCAACAAACGCTATATCACTCTACCCAAACTGAATTTGGCCCGCTGTTTTGTTGCCCCATCACTCAGTGCTGTGAGAACCCTCTGACATTTCTCACAGTCAGCTTTTGGTCTTGCTACCTGGAAAAATGTGTCAACACTTTATTATTCATCCTTCGTTCCAGATAGTTTATGAGCACTTGGAAAAGCAGAGATCCCAGCAGATGTCCAGAGGATTCTAGGGATAACATCCCTGTACTGTCCAATGTTGTTGGTTTTTTTTTTTTCCCTGCAGTTTCCAATATTTACCTACTCACTACCTAACCACTACAGAATTACACTGGTTTAATTTCCCAAAACTCTTAGAAACATCAAGGCTAGTCTAGTTGGTTGGGTTTTTTTGATTTGTTTTAAAGAAATCCAGACGTATTGTATTAGTATAAAATATCAAATGATTTTACACCTTTATCAAATGCTCATCCAGTCATTCAAACAACACCATCTCCCTGGTCACTGCAGGGAGGTTGGGCTAGATGACCTTTAAAGGTCTCTTCCAACCCAGCGGATTCTATGATTCACAGGGCAGGACTTCCTGCTGGAGAAGACAATTTGACGCCTCTCTATTATTGTATTTTTTCCAAACACACACACACAAACTCTGTTATTTTTTAATAGTTTCTACCAAGGTGCCTAATACAGAACAAGTCTCACTACTAGTTTCAGGTTTGCCAAATACTCCACAGGCCCCTCTTGAAAAGACTGACACATTTACTGGTTTTCATTCTTCCGTTCTAAGGCCTAAGGTTCTAATTTAAGCAATGATTACACACAATCATGTGTAACTCAGCAACTTCACCACCAACTTCTTCACAAAGTGACTTTTCCTAGCAATTCATTGTGCCGATTTGCTCCAAAACATCAACCTTCTGTCAGCTTGCTCCAGCCTGTTCCCTAGAAAGGAAGGCTCCATGTGGGAACTCTTCTGCAGTGAACAGCAATGCAAACAACCCCTCTCCTACAGCTTTACACTCCCTTAGCTTATATGTAATATTATGATCGTCTATCAGCTCATTGGGATCTCTGGCAGGCTTTCTGCTTTTGAGAGTTAGACAAAAATTTTTTTTTAAAATGCCTTTATAAAGCTGTTCCTCAACATTTTTTTGACCTACCTCATTATGGTTTATATTTAACTTGCCAAAGGTAATGCTCTTTCCTATTCTCGTCATTTGGATACAATTCCTGCTTAAGAAAGATGACTTATTTCTAGGAGCCCGGTCTACTCTTTAAGCAAGTCCTTGTTCAGTTTTGTGGCTTTCAATATCTTGTCTTCCCTCTCTTCTTGGACTTTCACCATCAAAACTAGACCCAGTATTCTAGAAGTCCTAGGTTTCGGGTTTTTGAGGAAGGTTGGATTTTTAATTTTAAATTAGTGCTACACACATTTCTCAACTTACGTGTGTACAGACGAACCTGAAATAGCATTTCAGTGATGGTATTTTGTAGAGATTACATGAAGCTTTCTGTGTCTGTTTCTAAGACAGAGTTTTTCTGTCTTGAAGGTATAATCTGCATTTGTTTCTCCCAGATGTCTTATTTCATATTGGATGTATTAACATATATTTGGTTGGACTGTGGCCATTTAAATCAAGCAATCCAGCTTGTTCTCTAAAAGTAGCCAATCATTTATTTAGTACTCTCTAATAAGTGTATCATCTGTACACTCAACCTTGATTTTTTTCCAGTTAGGATTATTGATGAAGACATCAAGCATTGTTAGAGTGAGAATTGATCAAGTGAGGACCTCATTAAAAAAACCTGAACATTAAGTCTTTCCTTACCAACAACCACATTTAGAGATTTCTCAGGGCATTGCTCTTTAATCCATCTAGCTTGGTAAAGTCTAAACTCACACTTTTACCCATTTAAGAAGCATTTATAGAATCATTTACCACAAAGAATTACATCCTGTAAAAAAAATGTATTCTATTTTGACTATTTTCATCATAACTTTGCCTACTTACATTTAAAATTGCACTAAAAAGTCCAGAATCTTTAGAACTAGCAAGCATTTATTCATTTTGTTCATGCTTGAAAACAGCCTAACCAACTTTATCCAAATTAAAAAAACACAAAACACACACCACACATTCTATGCTGAAGAACAAGCCTGAAAAATGTCAGCTGTAGAGATGATGTTTTCCCAATGATATGAAGAACTGAAAACAAACGCTTGAATAAAAGAAATCACGCAGCTCAAATTCTTAAATCAACAGGCAAGCTAATTTGGCTTTAAGAGTTCTAAATAAATTATGATACTTGGCTTGGTAGCACTAGCTTTGCATAGCTCTTTGAGAAGAGAAAGAATCTCAAGCGTAGCATGGAATTCTTTGCAGACTACTGGTCAGCCATCCTTACACCAATCCTAGGTAAAATAATGAAGTGTTCAACACTGAATTCAATTAATAAAGAATTAAAGGACATCCTGTAAAAAAATTTCAACCTTAGTAAGGTTTAGGGTTCATGTCAAAGAAGCAATTGAACATAAATCCTCAGCAAGATGCTGTCTTTAGAACTATGATTTTTCAATATATGAACAAGGCAATCACTACCTAGTTAGACCAGAGACCAGGTATTACCTCTTTGCATGTTTTCAGTCCAATGAAGTTAGTTACCGGGAGATGGTGACTGAACAGCAACCTGTAAGTAGCTACCAACGGAGAGAATAAGTAACACTTCAGGTTCTAGCAGGCAAAAAAACTCCTTTTTGAAGCCAATTTCTTAAACGAATTTGAAATTAAAATAAGATTAATATTTTTGCAAAAATTAGTTTATCCATATGACTAATGTACCACATTACTACCAGATTCTCCATCAATTGAAATCTTTAAATCAAAGTAACTAACCTGTGATCTGTGACATATTTACTAGAAGAAAACATCATGTCTTACGCATTGAAACAAATCAGGCTAAGGGACCATTAATGGTATTTTTCTGGCCTTAATGACTGTACTAAATGGTCTTCTTTCTTCAGTGTATATAATCTCCACAGAATCAATAAGTAACAACAGCCACGCCTTAGAAAGGGCAGTTAGGTTTGAGCTGTGTAAAGAAAGGAAGAAGAGGGTGATAATGTCCCCACCTTAGGTTCCAGTATTTTATATTCTAACCAGAGTTGCAAAATTCACACAGAAGATAATACTGATAATTGTTTCATTTACAATGGTGATGGAGAACACAGTCTTAACACTCAGTGTTTTGTTTTGATTTTAAAGCTGGGTTGTAGTATCTGCTGGTTACAGGGCAATGTCAGATTTTTATTTTTACTTTTTAAAGTTTGAAGATACAATGTTTGCCAATGAAAGCAAAGAAAGAAGATGCCACCAGTTTTAAGCTTAGGCTGAAGGCCATGGTCACCCAACCTAACTTCTTTATATGCAAGTCATGGAAATTCCCACCTCAAAAGAAATGGAATATATCTTCTAGAAAAGCACTAGTTGTGTTAACAAGTCCACAACCTCCTCTGCCAAAGAACCACTGCACTAGAGAATCTTTTCCACATGCATTAGAAGTTTGTGCAAAGGTCAAATAAGCATTCGGTCAAATTTTCCATTTGATGAAGCAAACTGAGATCCTTGAGCCTCAGCAGTAAAATATTCTTTGCCAATCTTTCCATGCTCAGAAAGACTGAATAGTCTTAGACTTTACAGTTTGAGGCACAGCAAGCAGAGGGTATTCACAAGTATATGTAACATAGTAAATGGTGTGGAGACATTTAGATGATTTCTTATCTCAGCACAGGATTCAAAGGCATTAAAAGTAAATACTGTGCATCGGGTTTAAAATAAACAAAGGGAAGTGCTATTTCATGCTATTTCCAAGTACATTTTTCTGAGTTCCATAGTGGGCAAAATCTCCAAGCAATTCTATAAACTGCTTGAAATGCAGAAGCCATATGGTGCACTAGAGAAAGCCATAAACCACGTTTAAAGGTAACTTTTGGTTGATCTGTTATGATTACATCTCTCATTTCTGAGAGCTATCACACTGTACTGCAACTTTCCACCCGTTCAGAGGGAAACAAATTCTGAAGAAATTAGTAACACTTCAGCTTACAGTAGCTTTTCAGAGTAAGATGCACAACTTGTTGAAAACTTGTTTTTGACTCTTCAGAAAACACTACTGCAAAGGCTCCAGGCACGTGAGGATGCTTTACTCTGTTCTCCTCAGTAAAAACAAACAAACCACATCACACTTTACTAATCCAGATAACTTAATCTGTCACTTCATGACCAAAGCTTCCTAAGGATTGCATCACCTGGTACCAGCAGTGAGCCTGACCACACATCAGTATCACGCACTGACAACATAATTTGTTTTACTATCCAACACACAACTCTACTCTTTGAGCAAGCTCCTAGTCAGACTGAAATCAATTATGTCATTGCACTGACCACTCAAATAGCTCATAATTTCAACACTAGTCTCCCTTTGAACCAACCAATCAAGTGACAAAGTAATGACACTTTTCAAGACACTCTCTGCAGTTCACTCACCTTGAAGGATAAGAAGTCATCAGGGGAAGAGGGGAAAAAAAAAAAACCAACCAGTAAAGTAAATACTTACTTTGGGAAGATGACAGTCATGAGCGCTGATGCATAACCAGGCTTGCACACTCCCTCAGAAAAATTTGCATACTTTGATATCAGTTCTGGAGGCCTGTGAAAAAATGAGAGTCAGGACTCTATCAGCTTTGCAGTCATTCAAGTTATCTTTTTTCTTTACAGCTTTTCTGAAAAACAGCTGTGAGGAATAATAGCAAACACAGATGGGTATTTATTTGTTGCAATATAGCATCACAGGAGAACAACAAACAAAGGACAGGGTTAAAGATATCTAAAATACTACTAAACCACTAGTTTTGCTGAAAGATTTTCATACCTAGGAAGGTAAAGCTCATGGGAGAAAAGTATCAAGGTATCATTTTAGATTTCAACTGTTCAAAAGGAAGAAAACATATACAGTTCTTTGCTTTGGCTATTTTTCTGAAGTATGATCAAAGTTAAAATTATATCAAATTATTATTATTTAGAACAGTACTTAGAAGATACCTTTCAAGCATATGACAAACTGCTGAGGAGTTTTGACAGGCCAACTTCAAGGGTTGCAAGCTTTCAGTATTTGGAACAGATGACATTGCTGCTCTTCTGTTGAGATGTGACTTAATTCAGCTTGCCTAGTGATTTCAGGGCCAAATTTAGACTATAGGGGGAGAGTGTTAATTTATTTTTTTGTACAGAAACAAAATTAGGAACTCAATTTAAGTCCTGTACATACTTTTACCATACATTTACTGAGTGACCTGGAAAAAATATTTTATTTGTGTCTCTATTTACTACCTGCACAATTTTTATATTCATCCATTTCACAAAAACATTACAGAGGTTAACTCAACTTTTGTTTTGAAAGTAACATTAAACACCTTAATGCCAATCAGTATGAGAATTATTGATATTCCTTCCAAAAAAAAAGCAAAATACACTTACAGTTACATGCTCTACATTCAGTGGAAATTGCAAGTGTTAACTACCGTAAAGAGTCAATCAATAATGTATTTGCTACACCATTTTGTTAGCAGTAAGCAAGTAATGAAAGGTTTTTTTCCTACAGGTCAACAGCAGG